ATATATATATATATTTCACCAGAGTTTTAAGAAAACCATCCCATTTACTATCTTTACAGTGAATTCAATTATCAAACTTCAGTTCTAGAATAAAATGGAAATACATCTAATAGTCCTTCATTTAAATTGCTTCCATTCTAGAACACCTTGTAATGCTCTTCTTGGAGCCCAGGCTTCTGGGCTCTTATACAATTACCTAATAAGAATTCCTGTACTAACATCCTGGAACAGTGACAAAGGGCTTTCTACAATAGTAATTTGCTATCTATAAAGATGTATAGGGAATTACATTACAATAGACTCCATAGCTAGGGACAAAAGCAGAGAGTAGACACTGCCAGGGGAAACCCTCAAAACACACACATGAACTCTTGCAGGAGAAATACCACTGCTGTGAAGCCTTCTGTTCACACAGATGCACACCTGGATATTAAGAACAAAGCCCGAAACTCCACCCTGGCAATCTCAAAGGAATCAAGTTAGCATCACTCTGGGGAACAAAGTCCAACCTCCGTATACAGCGTCAATTTCCCATTGCTCATTCCCATCTCCAAACTCTAGTATAACTGCTTGAAGGAACAAGATCTCTCGGAGAATGGTAACTGCCTGTGACACCAAGCTATGCCACTGTCACCCCTGTTGCTTCTCTGTTCCTTCACCTCCTTCATTAAATTTAGTCTTTGGCTGGCTCTGTTTTCTTCTGTCCCAAATCTGGACATGATCCTGGGTAAATGAAACACTAATATGGATCACCTGTCTAACACTATCTGTTCAATTCTAACTTTTCCTCATCTTTAATCTTCTCTTCCACCAGCTATGGCACCCACCCCCACAACCTAGACTTTACTGCCACCCAGAAATCACAAATGAAGACATCTCACTCTTTGACCACAGTGCTTATCCTCCCAACAACCTGTGACAGCCTTACTTTGTGCTGTGACATGACTGGTACCCCGACTTCCTTGGGTTCTTTGCTTCCCACCACTAGCTGTCTTTTATCTCCCTTTGTTTCACTGCCAAGCTGGACAGCCACTCCATTCTTAATGCTTTAATTCCCACCACAGTCTATGGCCTGAGGCGCACTGCTGAAGAAAACCACACAACCCTAACAAATACTGCCATTATTAAGCTCCCACAAGCCCCGGAAGCTGCTGGAATCAGCTAGACATAGGGTATGGGAATTCATACGGCAGTAAAAGGCAAAGGAAGAAGTAAATGAAAGATTTAATAAAAAAAACTGTTATAGACTGGTGACTGGCAAAATAAGACAATTCCCTTTTGCACGTCTTGCACTTAGAAAGCAGAGTGGAGTAAGAGTAAGTGCATAGAGATGCTCAGCAGGGAAAGGCAAGTCTAGAGGGGTCTGAACTCCAGAAAGACCCACTTATGCATCTATTATTCTCTTTTTTTTTTTTTAACATTAACCAACTGATGAAACAGTAAGTTACTGTTTATGTTTATATTCCAGGTGTCCCTGTTAGGCTGTTAACCACAAGATTGGCAGTTCAAACCTACCCAAAGATGTTTTGGAGCAATCCCTGGCACTCACCTTCTGGGAAGTCTTGAAAACCCTATGAAGCAAACTCTACTGTGAAATCCAGGGTCCCTCCCAGAGGGCAGAACCCCTGAGTGCTAACTGCTTGGGTTTGGGGGTTTCTTGGTGTTTACATTTTAATCATATAAGCTTTACTGGTTTGACCAAAGTTGCAACTGTCAAATCCCCAAAGAATCTAATACAGCATTTTGCATTTAACAGAAATCCTTTATTAAATGTAACACCCAGTTGTGTTTTTCAACAATCAGTTACAAAGTTCCACAACTATTATTGTAGGGAGGTCCCAAGCAGTTTTTCCCTTCTAATACAAACTGTTATAAGCAATCACATCTATACAAGTTCAGCCTATGCTAACTTCATTCTAAATTCAAGTGTTTTTAAATTGTATCTACTGTATAAACTTCTCATTTTCAGACTACTTACTCGGTAACCTTCGAGGTCTCTCATTTGAATCTGCAACAAGGAGAGATCCCTCAGAATTTGCAGATTATCTTTATCTAACTTGAGAGCATTTCGGTAACACTTAATAGCTTCATCATATTTCTTATCAGAACGTTGCAGGAGTCCATATACATGCCAACCTAATTAAGTTAAGGAAAGAGAGACATTCACAGACACTAAAATACATTACACTGAAAATCTACTATAAAACTTAGTGCAGCAACATAGTACTTTGGGATTTTGTTCAGAATGACCTGGGGCAGGAACACGAAGGCAGAGGGCAGCGGGGTGGTGGGGGGTGTTACTAAAGATAAAACAAGATAGTCCTGATTGACAACTCTGTTGAAGCTGGGAAATGACACATGGGGGTTCATTGTACTCTATTTTTTGTTATGCATTTGAAATTTTGTTATTTGAAATTTTTTCCTAATAAACTAATTTTAGAAAATTCTTGGTAAAAATGTTTCATATTCCTCATCATCTATTCCGAGTCACCTCAGCATTTACTACAGGAGCCCTTATGATGTAGTGCGTTATTACATGTTGGGCTGCTGGCCCCCAAGTTAGCAGCTCAAAACCACAATCTACTCCATGGGAGAGAGGTGTGGCTCCTATGAACAGTTACAGTCTTGGTCACTATGAGTTGGAATCAACTCGATGGCAAGGAATTTGGTTTTTTGGTCAGCATTTACTTATTTTTCATCACATTTTTGAAATAGAATATTGTACAAAAATTGCAATTACCTTTTCAAACAGGAAATTTATATTCAAACAACTCTAAAATCACATGTAACCCTAATTATTTAATTGGCTAATATTTAAAAATCTGGCCCACACAGAACTGTTTTTATTGCACAGTCTCAGCATTATCTTGAAGCCAATAACAATAATAACCTCTGATACTTACATGCCCTATTTCTTTACTCTGGAATAAGCACTTGGACAAAGAAAGAAGGATTTGGTATTTTAAGCTAAACATGAAAATACTACCAAGACTATATTCTAAGTAGCTAATATAAAACAGTTCAACAAAATAGTACTTTGAGATTTAGTTCAGAATGGCCTGGGACAGGGACAAGCGGTAAGCAAAAGCTGAGAAAACGCTCTACCAGCGCAAGAGAAGAAAAGCTGAAGAACCAGTATGCCATACTTAATATTAAATAAGATGTTGTCAAACAAGTCTCTTCTAATTTTTATTTTCCAATTTCTAAAAGAAAGTTTAAGGCCCTAAATTTTACTACAGTTAAATAACTAGCATCGGTACTTGAAACAACAACGTCTCACTCAGCTCATGAACGTGTAAGAAAAAAAGAAAGGGTCTCAGGTCCGTAAGTAATAAAGTAACTTTTCTCTCGTTCTAAGCACAGCTGCAGTAAACACTCGTGTGCTCTCTTTCTTTGCTAGAGATTTTCTTTACCACACTCCAGTCAACATACAAGTGGAGAGGGAACAGAGAGAACAAGTATTATAAAATGTTGATAATTATATCACTGAGTAATAGGTACAAAGCGTTCATTAAATTCCCTTTCATGTACGTTTGAAAGTTTGCGAGTGAAGTTTTTTTTAATTTAATGACAAGTGAAATAAAACTCTTCAACTACTGCAGAAGGATACAGACATGACTCTTGACATCATTGCGGAGACCTTTACGAACAAATTCATAGGCTTCTTCTTTCCTTCCTAAACAGTTCAGTGTTAATCCTTTCATAGCCAAAGTCTCTGGGGAAAAAAGAAAAAAGTCAACATCTATTCACACAAGACTAATTTTTCTCTTAAATATTTGAGATATCAAGGATTACTATTGCTTCAGTGCCATGTGATTCATTTTCTATTTTATTTTAAATGCATGTAACAAAATATTTCCCATTTCAACTGTTTGCAAGTACAACCAAGTGACATTAGTTACATGCGCCATGTTGTGCAACCAGTACCACTATCCATTCTCAAATTTTTCATCACCCTAACACACGCTCCCTCCCCTTCCCTCTCCCTCCACCCCGACTTAGAACTTCTTTCCAAGTACAAAAAGTGAACATGCGTGTATTTGCTTAAAACAGCCCAAGTTCTTTCAGAAACATGTTTGAGTGGGATTCAGTTGCTAAAATATTAACTGTCCTTTCAAAGATTTGTATCAAAAGGCTCAAGATTATTCTACTGATAGAACAACGGGCATATAAGTCTGTTGAGTGAAACCCATTTTAGCGGTCCCACAGCGTTCACCTGAGATCAATTCTAACGAAATCGTCTGCTTTACACCCTACAGAAAGTCAATCTCTCTTACAGACATAGACACAATCTACAGACATGCACTCTTGGGGCAGATTTCCATTCTGACAGCAAGTTTATTCCTCCTAATTAATAGCAGTTTGTATTTCAGGAGTGCAACAATGGACTATGGAAGTGACAACCCAAAAGCATGTTAGAAAGGTTAAGAACGATGGTTTAGGATGAAATAATTCTCTAAATAATCCACAAGGAAGGAAGGAAGAAGGAAAGATGAGTAGGCTTCCAAACTCAGCTCTGTAGACTCTTATGGTTCCCTTCAGAAAACAGTGACCTAGGGTCCCCGGTCCCAATAGCCAAACAACTTTTCTCCCTGCTTACACCCTAAACTTCTCTCAAGCTTTCCATTTGGAAAAGTTGAACAGGCTGCGATCAATTTTGTTTTGCTTTGCTGCAGAACCATTACCTGCATGTCTAACCTGGTCCATCATTCTACTGGCCGCCAGGGGAAAAGGATGTCACAAATACACACTGACACCATCAAGCTAAAAAGGTAATGCAGAATGCACAACCTAACTGTAAATTAATAGTATCACGCAGCACATTTCTAACAAAAGGTAAACTGCTTTGGCTGTTTCCTCACACTACACTGTCAGTATTCCCCTGGACATAAACGTTTCTGCATCTTTAAGTGGAATCTGTACGGAAGTGAGACCAGGTACATACAGATCTTACTTAGCTTGAACTTGACAATGATTTAAAAGCTGCAGGAACAGCAAGTGAAGGTAAGTGTGATTCTAAGTTGCCACGCTTGACTGAAGATTGGAATCACATGGGGAATCTGGTGAAACTAGATCCCTGGGCTCCATTTACAATCAAATAAATCAGAATCCATAGTGGGCAGGAGCCCAGGGTTAGTAGTTGCACCAGAGCCTAAGGTGATTCCAACTACGTCAGCTAAGTTTGGGAACCTAGGTTGTGATGGGTATTTGTTATACAGGCAGGAACTACTTCAATAGTTTCAAAGTGAGGGCAACTTTGTATAACATTAAAGAGCATGTAGTAGTTCATAGTCTGAGATTCATAACCAAAGGGCTGTCTGTAATTGCAAAAACTGCTCTCAATTTATAAGTGAGAAACAGGTACAAACTTAAATGATATTCAAACACAAGAAAAACAATTGTATAGGTTTTGCCTGCCATCCTAGAGTGTTCCTATGGCACCTTCTATAATCCATTTGCCATTCATTTATAAGACAAAAAGGTTTTGAATGTTCCCAAGTCCAAAAAAAAATTATGAAATCATACCAAATACATAAGCCCTAAAATAACACTACTATATAGTGTTCACAGGCAACTGTTCAAAGCTAAGAATGCTGACACCCAGATGCATCAAGGGGATGGAGGGTGAGAATTAGCGACACTATCTTTGTTGTCCCTAAGGGTGTGTACTAGTTTGTCCTTTTTTGTTTAGTGAAGCCAGGTACTAATGTAGGTCTTTCAGAAAAAGCAGAGCTATGTAAAGCTCTCGCTCTCTCTCTGATATCAGAGAGAGAGAATATATATATATATATTCCATTTTATAATCCAATACATCAGTCAACTGCATCTCACCTAAGCGCCATTGTACTTATAAAGGTGTAAGTAATCTAGAGTAAGACAGAGGAAACATAACTTAAAAAGTTGAACATGTATGCACTATCAGGGAAGGGTCAAGGTCAGGTCATTTTTCTTTCATTTTCTTTAAATATCTCATCTGTCAGCCTGTGGGATGAGATTTCCCTAAAACAATTTTCTCTCACACAAATGAGACAATACCTCCATGTTCAGCAAATTTTGGGTTCGAAAGAATCATCTTGCAAAACTTGAGGCCATTTTTGTACTGCTTCTGTTCATAACACTTCTGTAAAAAAAATACACGAACAAGTTATTATATAAATGAACATACAAGAGAAACTTCTCCTTGTCTATTGTAAATACTAAATTAAGACTCAAAACAAATTCTTAAAAAGTATGTGATGTGAAAGTTTTCATGTCATTTTATGTAAGTTAAAATGTGAGGGGTACTTTTGTCCCATACCGGCTCACTGCCGTCGCTTAACTTCTGACTCAGGGTGCGCCAACAAGAGAGAGAGCAGCACTGCCCCTGTGGGTTTGAAGCTGTAACTCTTTACTGGAGCAGAAAGTCTCAGCTCTCTCCCATGGATACTCTTTATCAAATTATTCTAGAATCCACACGTAGTCTGACTTTTATAATAGATAACAAAAATTACATCTAAAAAACAGGGAACTGTCCAACACTGCCACTGAATATTATAATTCAAAAGCAAAAATATATGGAACAATTCATAAAAATATTAGAAATTACATCAAAACGATCCATTCTGCATCCTGCAAGAATCAAACCAAAGCACACAAACTACTGCCATTTATTAAGCAAATACTATGTGTTTATACCCCAAAATCCCAAACCCATTGCCATTAAGTAGATCCCAACTCACGGCAACCCTATATATAGTTTCGGAGCCTAAACAGCTTCTGAGGTCTCTCATGGAAACACTGATGGGTTTGAACCACAACTTTGCAACTAGCATCCCAACTCCTGATCCACACTCTCTTCAGGGCTCCTATGTGCCTGCATAAAACCTGTAACGCTCCAGCCTTAGAACAACTCCTAAAAGTAGGTGCCATTACCTTCACTTTACAGATAAGAAAAACCAAAATTCAGAGTTCATAAAACTTGTCTGCATCCCCATGACCTAGACAAAAGCTCGCCAATAAACACAGTCCAGTAAGAGCCAGGCAAATGGTACCACAGTGGAGGAGTAAAACCAGAAACAAAACTCACTGCCATCCAGTGAATGCTGACTCATAGCGACCCCCAAGACTGTAACTGCTTACAGGAGCAGAAAGCCACAGCTTTCCCCCGAAGAGCTATAAATGGGTGTAAAAAGAAGAGCTAGAAGAGTCTTCATAAAAAATAATTGTTTCATTCAAGACCTACTGATTGCCTCTGCTCCAAGGAAACAAAACAGGTGGCTGGGAGGAAAGAAGTTGATGACATGAGGCGCTCTGCACCCACTTCCAACGCAGAGACGCTTTGTACACAGAACAGAATAAGCAACAGAACGGCCCTGCCCGGTCCAGCGCCATCCTCACAAGGTCTGCTGTGTCTGAGGCCATTATTGCAGGCAGTGTGCCCATCCATCTTGCTCAGGGCCTTCCTCTTTCTCAGTGTCTTTTTTACTTTTTGTTATCAGGGATGATGTCTGTGTCTCCAGGCCTGGCCCCTCCTGATAACATTTCCAAAGTAAATGAGTCAAAGTCTTATCATCCTTGTTTCTAAGAGCCATTCTGGCTGTACTTTTTCCAAGGCAAGTCTGTTCATTCTTCTAGCAGTCCACAGCATTACTGGCCAACACCATCATTCAAATGCATCGAATTTTCATCGTTCTTCCTTATTCACTGTCCAGCTTGCCATACACAAGAGGCCAACAAAAGACCGTGGCTTGGGTCAGGCATACCCTAATCCTCAAAGTATTATCTTTACTTTTGAACACTTAAAAAGATCTTTTGCAGCTGACTTGCCCAGTGCAGTAAGTCATTTTTTAATTTCTTGACTGCTACTTCCATAGACAGTGATTGTTGATCAAAGAAAATTAAATCCTTAACAACTGTAATCCTTCTTTTCTTTACCATAAATGTTGCTTACTGGTCAAGTTGTGAGGGTTTTTGTTTTCTTTATGTTAAGTTGTAATGCATATTGAAATCTGTAGTCTTTGATCTTCATGAGTAAGTACAGGTCAAGTCCTCTTTCCTTTCAATAAGCAAGGTTGCATCAACTGCATAGAGCAGGCCGTTACTGCATATTCCTCCAATCCTGATGTCATTTTTGTCTTTATATAGACCAGCTTCTCAGATTATTTGCTTAGCTTCCAGACTGAGAAAGTATAATTAAAGGATAAGACACTGATACACACCTGTCTGATTTTAATCCATTAAGATGACTATTCTTCAAATTCTATGCAGCAAACACTCAGGTCAAAAATGAAGGAATTAGAAGATTCAGATCAACTTCTACAGTCTCAAATTGATTAAGCACTCAACCGAGATGCACTGAAAATTAGTACTCATGATTGGAATGTAAAAGTTGGAAATGAAGAAGGAAGGTCAGTAGTTGGAAAATAAAGCCTTGGTGATAGAAACAAGACCAGATGATAAAATTTCCGTAATCCAACAACTTATTCATGCATCTCTTTTTTTCAACAATGTAAACAGTAAATATGCACATGGACCTCACAATATGGAATACACCTGGATCAAACTGACTGTGGAAAGAGACTAAGGAAAAACTCAGTCACATTAGTCAGAAGGCCAGAAGCCGAGTGCAGAACACGCCATCAAATGCTCATATTCAAGTGAAGCTAAAGCTGAAGAAAATTGAAACAAGTCCATTACACCCTAAGTACAACTTTAATCATATCCCACCTCAATTTAGAGACCAACTCAAGAAGAGATTTGACACAATGAATACTAATGACCTAAGATCGAATTAATATGGCATGACATCAAGAACATCATACATGAGAACACCCAAAGGTCGTTGTGGCAGTTATATTTTATGTCAACCTGACCCTGTGTGAAAGTGCAGGGGTAAAGTCCAACCTACCCGTTAAGTCACAGCTTGATGATGAGTGTATTGCCATTTAAAGAGAGGTGCTGGGAATTCTTCTATTGCCCTTCACCCTACTCCTCACTGGGACTATGTGTCTGCCTTCAGAGGAGACCTGTTAGCACCGTTTCCACTGACTTTCGATCCACATCACTGCACCCACCAGCCTGGGATCTCCTGCAGCTATGTGGGTCTGAAGGGGGCTCTGGTTAGCATCAGGCCCATGGACTTGAGTTGAACTGGGCTGGAATGCCTTCTTGATACCAAATTATTCTTGTTATCATTTTTTTTCTTATCCATATATGAGCACCCTGGTTTTGTTTACCAAGATAACCCAGTCTAACATCATACATGAAGACACCAAAAAGTCCTTTAAAAGAGAAAAGACCAAAACAGATGACAGAAGAGATTCTGAAACTGCTCTTGTATGCAGAGTAGCTAAAGCAAATGGAAAAGATGAAATAAAAGAAGTGAACAAAAGATTTCAAAGATACGTTAGAAAACCAAAAGAGAAGAACAAGCTGGGCATTTCTGAAAGTGAAAGAACTTAAGAAAAATCCATGCCTCAAATTGAATTGTCAAAGGATTCTATGGGAGAACCACTGAACAAGTAACAAATAAAGAAGATGAAAGGAATATAAAGACTCACAGTACCAAAAAGAATTGGTCAGCGATCAATTATTTCAAGAGACAGCGTTGTGATCAATAACCAACAACATAGAAGCCCAAGCTTCAATAAAAAACTGGCAAAAAACAAACCCCACAAGGCTCCAAGAATTGTCAGAATACCAACTAAATTTTTCAACAAACCGATGCAGCACTGGAAATGCTAACTCATGGATGATTTTTAAAAAAAGGAAGCCACCTGGTCAATTCTACCCAGCCCTGTGAGGATCATTTTGAGTAGGAAGCAACTTGATGACAATGGCTTTGGGGTTTGAGGTTTTATCACTTGAAATAAATCTTTCTCTCCCTCCCTTCCTTCCTCTCTGTTGGCTCTGGGGGATGATCCTTGTT